CTATCCTTCCTCCATTTTCCCTACAACACAACCCTGCTAAGTAGGTTGGGCTGAGAGACTGCCTGGCCCCAAGTCACTCAGTGAGCTGAGAGTGGACTTGAACTGGGGTCTCACTGGTCCTAATTCAGCACCTTAACACAACATTGTGGCTACTATGCATGATAGTTATATGCTATCTCCAGGACCAGCAGCATGGGGAACAATAATAGGAGAAGCCTTTGCCCTTAAATGCTGGCTGGGAATTCTCAGAGTGGTATTAGGAACCCATCTGAAGGGCACCAGGTTGGAGAAGGTTGTCCTAACATAAACACTTCAGAGTTTTAGAAAAACTTCTTCCAGAAACCACCAGACCCTACATCTCCCAATCCATGTCATCTAGCACATCTGGGATTGTGCTATTCAACTGTTCTGATCATTTGCATATCTACATGCTGTGAGCATGGGCCTATCTCCAAAGTTTTGCAAAGCTACAGCCATTTCCACAATAGTGACTTCTAACATTTTCTGGCATCACTCAGGCAATATAAAGTCTGTCATGACCGCTATATTGGCCCAATGATGATTGGATGACTCTGGAACAGCAGTTCTCAAACATTCTGGTCTCAGGACCCCTTTATATTCTTAAAAATGATTGAGGACCCCAAAGAGCTTTGGTTTATGTGGGTTATGTCTATCAATATCGACTATATGAGAAATTAAAATTGAGACATTTTAAAATATTTGACTTCACGGACCCCCTGAAGGGGCCTCGGGGACCCCCAGGGGTCCTCAAACCACCCTTGGAGAACCACTGCTCTAGAAGATGCTAGTGGAGATCCTGTCTGTAGATCCCAGGCAACAGTCAGCCAGCCAGTGCTCACTGTTACCCTTCCAAATCAATCAATTGATCAAATGGATCAAATTGATCCACCCCCTAGGTTTCACTGGATCCCTGCCTTGGAAATGGGCTCTTCCCCTCTTCACAAAAACAAAATACATAGCTGATGCATTCCCCCCTGCACAGAGTGTTCTCCTGCATATAGTTGTGAATATTTTATTTTGCCGTAAAATGCAGAGGCAAACTGAGGGAAGGGGATTATTCTTATTTAAAAACAAAGACACCCACCCACAGAATACACTAAACCCCTTGAAAGGCTTCCCACTTCTTGCTGCACCAAACCTCTCTCCTAATGGAGGCCTAACAGCCATGTTGCCTTTGAATTCCTTCCTCTGACCACGCCAGCCTCAGGGAGTGATAAACACTCATTTCTGAAGTAGCATTTCTTGCCTTGAAACAGCATCATCATCATCATCCAAAAGTAATTCAAACTTACTGAATTTTGTTATTACACACTAATAACACGCACTTTCACAAACGTGCTGTGTACTGCTGGGGGCGACTGCATAGCTTACGTTCCACCGCAAGGCATTTCTTTCGGCTGGAACCCAGTCTTTCCACTTCTTAGCCTCTTTGAGCGTTTTGTAGGCAGAATTACCAAAGAAACCACCACCAAACACCACCGCTATTGGGCGGCTAAATGCTTTGGATGACGCTCTTTTCCAAGAACACCCAGTTTGTTCCCGGCCGTAACCCTTCTCCTCGTTAACTTGCAGCAAGCCAACTCGAGCTTGTAATAGGCGGAACTGGCAGCCCAAGCAACAGCAGAGGGTCAGGCTGCAACGGGCCCCGCGAGACTCTCTTTTCAAGGGCCGCGTTTCTTCCTTTCCCGCCGTGCGGCACCGCGAAACCTCCTCTCTCAGCGTTGCTTGCACGCCGAGGCTTGTGCCCAAAGCCCCCTTCAGCGCCAGAGCTCTCTCGCCTCCCATCCCTCAGCCCCCTTCTCCTCTCTCCCGGGGATATTCCTTGAGTTTTGAATCCCTGCGCTCCTTTTTTCGCCACTGCAGAGCCAAATCGAAAAATGGGGGGCGATCGTTGCGAGAGCGGCTAGAAAAAATCGGTTTGAATTTACCAGCCGGCAGGCGCAAAGCGGCAAATGTCACTTTACTCACCTCCCTGGTGGAAGGTAAGCAGACTTTCTGTCCGTTTCGATTTCTTCTCCCCCCCCCCCCACCTCCTCTGGCGACACTTCTGGGCGAGGAAAGGTTTGACATTTTGTAAAGTTGCATCGAATCGTTGCTGCTGTGGCATGAAAAATCTGCCATGCAGAAAATCAAGGCTCATTACAGATCCCAACCGGGGCTGTGTTTAAGATTCAGCAAGATTAAGGCTGCAGTCTGAAAAAGAAAATGGCATTTACTTTTAAGTAACAGCGCTACATGAAGTTATATTTAAATGGTACTTCTGATATTAACCAGTCATCTAATGTATTTGTTAGGACATACTAAGTGGGATTATGATATCTGTCCTCATGGAAGAGGAAGATATTTTAATTAAAATGTTTTTCTGGGAATAACACTCCCTCCAAACTAACTTCTCCACCATACTCAAATTTATGTACAGTATAGTAAAGGGAAGTCCCACAATATTGATAGATGTGGAACTTGTTTTCAAATAAATATACATAGAACTCAAGAGTTCTAGAAAATATAACAAACTGTCATGTAGTAATAAATCTTTATGCCATATGTCTTCATGGACAACAGAACATTTCATCAGATTCACAGTTGTTATATGCTGTGGTTAAAGAGGAATAGTAACAGGAGCAGACACGGGGCAGTGAAATAGAGGTGAGACAAGGGTAATTACTTATCAATAGCAGCTATTTGCAAAACAACTGATGAGTTGATTAATATATGTAGTTTGCTCATTACTCCACTTGAGGATGTGGACTTTGTCGACAAAAACGTATGGATAATTAATTCACTATTCTTTAAAGGCAACAACATTTTGTGGTGTTTTTGCTGCAACAGTCCAACATAGATACCTTCCTGGAAATTGTGAAAAATATGTCAGGGTATAACAGAGGCAGACTTGGACAGATGAATACTGTATATACATCACTAGGGACCTACATTTGCCACTTAACACAGATTCAGATTTGCAGATCTCGTCTCCAAAAAAAGAATAGAAGAAAAGAAAAACATGAGGATCTATTGTATAGGTTAAATGAAAAGATGGATATGGAAGAAGCAGCTGAATTGAACTGAATTGAACTGAATCAGCAGAAATTGAGAATTGTAGAAATCCAAAGCATAGTTATGGATAAGGCAGTTAAACAGTAAACTCAAAAGTTAGCAAGGTTACTCCAGGAATATGGAGTATCTTCACTGAATGAAGATCTTAGCACCAGATGAGATCCCTTTCATAGGGACAAGACTGCTTTTAGTAATCTGTTTGGATCCTAGGATGTGACTGTTGTATAAGGATCTCACACAATTTCCTAATGTGTTTTTGTTTTTTTTTAATTATTGATTTCCAGGCAGCCATTTAATGAATAATTGTGCTATTTTGGAGCAAATAAAGAAAAAAATGCCTGTTAAAAATAGGAAGATAAGGTGAAAGTAAATGAGCTGTTTACAGAAAGAAACCACAAGTCCTTTTTGATAGAGATAACTAGCAGTTACCTAGAGCTGTTGGTACTGTGCTGGGGTCCAAGAGCACAGTTTTCAATGCATTCTTAGCAAATATTGTCATTCAAATCAAACAAATTTCTTAAAGGGAGGCATTTATTTTGTGGAGTGTAATCTCTAGTGGAACTTTAAAGTTAATGGGAAAAGATAATTGTTAGTGAACACTATGATGACTGTTAATATATATTTTATAACATAATGTAATTTCTCATCTGGCCCAATCAGTTTTTTCACTAAAGAAAAAAAGTCAATCCATCTGGCAGGAATTAGCACTTGTATCAGTATTATTGCACTTTCTTCTAATAGTCCCCAAATTTTAACAACCTATATATATGGGTTATAGAAAGAGAGAAAGTTAGCCAAGCAATGAAATTGAAGGATGATGGATAGCTAGCTAACTAGCCAGACCTTTGTCTCTTTCTCTCTGTATGTCAAGGATTCATCAAGGATAGAGGAACTCATATCTCTTCTGCAAATTTTATTACAATAATTAAATATCCATGGGAAATTCATTTTTTCTATTCTGTTTCCTTATCTGTTCAAAATTGAGTGTCACTATTTATTTATTTATCAATCAATCAATCATTAGAACAGTTACTAAAATATAATACATTCGCTTTTGTAGATTAAAAGTCAGGGGAGTATATTCTGCTTCTCTTCCTCCTTTGAGTTTAAATTGCAATATAGTGTCATAGTTTGATATTGTTTGATATTGATATAGTTTGATATTTCCTTTAACAGCACATAGTTTGATATCAGAGCAAAGAAATATGAAAATAAGCAGTAATTTAAGCTTTTTAGTTTTATACCCACTCATCCCTTTTATGTCAAAGTAATTCCCACTAGCAAGAATAGGATTCTGGAGTACGTAAGTATACATAGGATCATGGCTTTTAAGCTCTGTTTTTGAGAGAGTTGGCATAAGCTGTGTATTTTCACTCTCCAGAGGCAAAGGCAACTGAATGGGAATAACTTCAGTTGTATTTGTTTATAATTTATCCAGTACTATTGAAATACAAGAATTTTTTAAAAAGATGATGACAAGTATGCTTTAGATTATACTCAGCATTTGTGAGAAGAAAATGGCAAGAGGAGAAGGAAAGAGACAAGAGGCAAAAATAAGAAGAGGCCAATGTCAGCAAATTCAGACAGGTATATTTAGACTTCACATGAGTAACCTGGCTGTAACATTATGTTCTAGATCTCTGTATTTGCCTTGGAGTTAATCATGGGTAAGATAGTTATCTAGTGAACATACATGAAACAGGGAAGCCAAGTGTAATTTGCCAGACCCCCTTCTCTGCATCAGTATTCCAACCAATTTTGTGTGTGTGAGAGTATGTATGGCTTAAGTCAGAGGCACCAATGTGTTTCCTCCCCTTCCATTCTTTTTCCACCCCCCACTTCCAATTAACCTATAGGAGATAAAAAAAGGAGGATCAGTAGAGGTTCTACTTTGTAGCTTCTCCCACATCCTACATTGTTCTCCTGGACGACTATTTCCTAATCAGAATCAAGCCATGATTATAACTTGTGGTCAAGGTGCTCTAATTAACCTTAATTTGACCCAAGGTTTTGAGTTGGGATGGCATGCTAAGCCAAGCCACAGTATTACTTAGTATGTCATGTGACCCAGGTCTGTGGCACTGAGATGGATAAGATGGATTAATGTATCACCATCTTTGTTCCTAATGGATGAATAGCATGCATGAATATTCTGATGTGTGTATTTATGTTGTTCTATCATTGCATTTCATGGCACCTTTGTTTCTAATTACTGAGCTGCTGGGAACTGATTGGGTAGCAATGCCTGGAACCTGCCCTCTGATTTGTTATATATGGTCTGACTTGGATAATTCAGAGTACGTTTGAACTTGGATTGTGCCTAAAGTCCAAAAGAGACAAGTATAAACTGTATGTATTCAGAGGCACTGTTCATTTGTTTTTCACAAACTTTGTATTTTGAGGCCATGGCCTAATGGGAATCTCTCTATGTTAATAAGCAGAGTTTTACATATCTGATGCTTTTCCAGTTCTTTATGTTCTCTTTGTTATGTCTCTTTCATATAAAAATTTGCTTTCTATTTTTAATGTCAATATGCCTTGAACATCTCCCAGATCTTTCACATTAACTGGGCCTCCTTCATAACTTTTTTTTAAGCTGAGGACTGCACTAGACTTTTGAAGAGTGTGCCAAGGTCCACATTCCCAAATCTGGATTGGGACAAAATAAAGTTTTGAGTTATTTTAATTTTAAAATAAATTTAAATTGAGATAGTAAGCATTAACTTTGGCTTTCAGGTGGATTGCAAATTGTACTAACTGAGCTGGTTATGATGACCAAAGCTGCTTGTCTTTTCCTAGGAGAAGCTGTACACTTAGCTCGAGATTTTGGATACATCTGTGAAACTGAGTTCCCGGCCAAAGCTGTTTCTGAATATCTGAATAGACAGCACACAGACCCTACTGATCTCCACTCCCGAAAGAATATGCTGCTTGCCACAAAGTGAGTAGAAATACAATCCTTGAACATGCTTTGCTTTCAAGATCCTGGCCCTGTTTTTTTCCCCCTCTGACATTAGCAAACTAGCTGGTTTCATTTCAAGGTTCATTCTAAACTTTTTTTTTCTTATTTCCCAAATAACTAGCCAGTACTGGCCCCAAAACTATTTCTAACTGAAAAAAGGAGAACAGGAAAAGAAGAATAAACGTGAATGAAGAGAGGAAAAAATAGACAGATAGGAAAATCAACAAAAGGCAAAAAGGCTGAGAAAGTGAGATTTAAAAAAAATTAACAGAAGCACATGAAAATAAATTAGTATTCTTCCCCCAATTAGCTTTCCAATTCTAATCTGTGGTTAGGTATTGAAAATCCCTCCCCAAAGAATATAACTGAATAAATGCAGTTGCTAAGTTTACAATTATAATCAATTTGCCTACAATCTTAGGCAAATTGATTATAATCCCTGGAAAAATGTGTTGATAGTTCTATTTATCATTACAATATATTATGGATGAATGGAGACTTAGTACAAAAAAAAAAAAAACCCAAAACACTTAAGTCAAAATGCATTGCAGTTGCCTGATATTAGCAATTCCTATATTTCAAGGATACCATTTATTATTGTATCTGACTGCCCTTCATTTTATCTGTGCCTACCTAAATAAATCTGTAAAACTTCAGCCTGCTGGTTCTGGATGAGTACTTGTTTCAGTTTTGGAACGTCTTTTGAGATGTTGCTTCCCCATCTTGGAAATCTCCAGAGTTGTGTTAATGTAATAAACATTTGCTTCAAAGATACATACTCCAAGGAAAATTTGATAATGATAGTTAGGAAAAAAAAAATATCAATCCTGGGAATTGTAGTAGGATTCAGCTGGAACCTATAATGCGCCACAACTGCTGTACAGAAAATAAAAGAGTTCCAAAGTCTATATGAAAAGCTCCAAGAAGGAGAGATAGTGGTCCTGTCCTGTGACATGTCAGGCTGCAAGCTGGAACAAAATAGAATGCTAAATTCTACTGAATAGATGAGCATGAAGAAGTCAGTTCAAGGCTGAGAAACACTGTCTATATGAAAAGCTCCAAGAAGGAGAGATAGTGGTCCTGTCCTGTGACATGTCAGGCTGCAAGCTGGAACAAAATAGAATGCTAAATTCTACTGAATAGATGAGCATGAAGAAGTCAGTTCAAGGCTGAGAAACACT